GAAAGTATTTACAGAGGGGGAAAACTGAGGCTTGGGGAAATTTAGTGAGTCACATGGTTATGGAAAACTAGCATGTGTGCCAGACATCTCCAGCTCCAGTGCCTGAGCACCAGCTTGTCTATTGTCTCCATTGTCTCTCTCTGAAGCCCAAACATGCTCACTCTGGTCCAGGCACTGCCTCCCTGGGGCCAGGACCCACTTCTGAGAATTCAGCTTGCAGATTGAATCCTTGTTTCCTCCTGACCTGCATGCCAGTCTCAGTCCTCCACAGTGGGCTACAAAGGATTGCAGACTAATAGAAACAGCTACCATTTTTCCAGCTCCTGCCTCCCCTGTCCCCATCTAGGGCATCATGCTTGGTGCGTCTTGTTCCTTGTCTCATTCTATCCTCAAGGCAACCCTATGCAGTTACTATTACTTTTGCCATTTCATAGATAAGGAACAGAGAGGGTATGATAAGTTTAGAGAGGGTAAGTAACTTGCCCAAGATCACACAGCTAGCAAATGACAGTTAGGACCCAAATCTAAGTCTGCTGTTGCAATAACCTCCCAAGCACTTGCCCTCCCTTCCATGGCTACAGAGCAACAGCTCCCAACCCTCTGACTTCAGGGTCTTTGGACATCCCACTCCACTAGGGAATCCAGTCAGTCAGTCACCCATTCATTCAGCCTTCCCTGAGTATGTTTGTCAGGCTCCAGTTGGTTGCGTAAGACAGACGCCCAGTGAAACAAGCTGGAGCCGTAAGGGGCTCCTACAGATGGGTAGGATGTTCTTGTGGCTCCTAGGACTGAAAAGAGGGCTGCAAGACCATGAGAGCCAAGGCTGGGACTCTGCTGCTAGCAGGCCCTCTAGATTCCTCTCCCATCTGTGGTCCTGCTTGACGCCTGCATTTAAGTGGGAAAGATGGCTTCTCAGGCAGCCTCAGGCCCATAGCATCCAGCTCTGTAGTCCAGCAGGAAGAACCTCCTCCTCCCAGCACCCATATATTGATCCCAGGGGAAGAGTCGTTGGTCCTGCTTGGGTAGCGTGCCCCCGCTTGGCCTGATCACTCGCACTGGAGGATGGGGCTCTATAATGGTGCAGTCTGGGTCACATGCCCACCGGGTGGGTGGGAGTAGTGAGTCCTTTAATGGACAACCTGCCAGGACTATGGGACAACATTGGGGAGTTTCCCAAAGGAAGGAGATGCCAGAAGCAGACGATAGAAAACGGGCTAAAGGGGTAAAAATCACTCGATGTCACAGTCTATTACACTGTCCGTGTGAGAGACAGGGACAAACACAACACAGACACCATCTTGGGGAATTCACAGCCTCACAAGGAAATAAGGCTTACAGAAGGGAAGCTGTTCATAATAGCTGATAGCAGCTACCATCAGAGGAGCACCTACGGCTACCAGGCATTGGGCCAAGTACCTCCAAATGCATTATCTTACTCCATGCTCACAATGACCCTGGGAAGTAGGTAGTACTATCATCCCTATTTTTCTGAGTCAAAGACACAGTAGAAAACAACCTTTTAAAATTCTTTTTGGCAAGACAGCCAACACAGGAAAAAATAAAAATGTTTATGGGCTCCTTATCCTTCCTCAGAGAGGTTAAGTGACTTGCCCAAGGTCACACAGCTAGCACATTAAATGAACATCCTAGGAAACATTTGGTTAAGGGCCAAAAGAGTACTTCTGCTTTGCTTTTCCTTCTTGACTTAAGAACTAGGGAAAGCTGTCTGGAGGTTTGGAGGACAGAGTGAATCTAAGCAGAAATCTGAAGGATGAGACATCTGGGTAGGTGTCCAGGGAGGTTGTGGGAAGAGAGGATGGGTCAGTCTCCAAACAATAAGGAAGACAAACCTAAGCACCACCCAAATACTGCCTATTCGCTCCAGCCTGTGGCAGACCTTCAGCAGATTTACAATCAGAGACCCCTTCTTCTGAGACTCCTCTCCGGCCTGTCCTAACCAGCCCAACCCTTCTTCTTAAGACATATACACATCTTCTTTTCTCCATCCTGGGTGCCCTCCTGTGGACACACGCAGTGAATTGAGATCCTAGACATAGTTTGATCCACACTGAGAACAGAAGAAATGTCACTTCTCTAAATACCTAATTTCTTTTAATGAGACCGAAGATCAATTAGGTATTACGCAGTCACATCCCATCTTTTCACACCGAGCTAATTGTCTTCTAATACTCCCCCCATCTCCCCCATCCTGGACATGGGTAGATGGTTCCATGGCTATAAGACTAGAAACTCATTTTATTTCATCAGGATCAGCCCATTTTTTATCTTGGCTATCCCTTAACGTTACCACCTCCATGAAAGTGACTGGTGGGACCATGTAATTCCACTTTAACGAGGCACCTAGGGTAGTCACTTTCATAGACACAGAAAACAGGATGTCGGTTGCCAGGGGCTGGGGGAGGGAGAATGGGCAGTTACTGTCTGATGGGCATAGAGTCTCTGTTTTTCAAGATGAGGAGAGTTCTGGAGATGGATTTGATGGTTGCACAGCAACGTGAATGCACTTAACTCCACTGAACTACACACTTGCATGTGGTTAAGATAGTAAACTTGGGTGTATTTTACCACAACTTAAAAAAAGAAGTGATTTGTGGACCTTCTGGATGCCCACCTCCCCAGGAGAACCTCTCTCTGAACCCCGGGTAGCTGGGTTCTCACCACATGGCTTCTGGAGGATCCTGTGAACACTCCTCTGAGAGAACCTGGAAAACAAGTGAAACCAGTGGTGCCCTTAAGTAACACACCACTGTGCCTGGAGTTCGAGCCCACCATGAGCCAGCCTCAAGTCACCATCCAGCCCCACCTCCCCTGATCCTGCATCCGCCTGTAGTTCAAGAGAGCTCTACTCCCCTCTCACCTGAATGTGTGACGTCACCTATACCCACTGACTCCCGCTCTTCACCGACCGTTCAGCCCTCAGTGCCCAACAACTTAGCCCCTGTCACATCACCAGTGGTCTCCTTAGTGGACAACAGACATTAAGGCCAATGGGCACTTTCCATTCCATCTGTCACAGGGCTCTCTGTTCTGACACCACTGAGCACATGCTTCTGCCCCTCCTCGGCCTCCATGACACCCACTGCCCTGGATCTTCTCCTACCTCCCTGACCATTGCTGATCCATCTCACCCAGGAACTCTTCCGAAGTTCTGGCCTGGACCGACTGCTTTTTCTAGTCTACATGGTCTTCCTACTTATCTCATCTCCTCTCAGGACAATTAAAAAAAAAATTCTCTCAAGCCCAGGCATCGGTCCATATACTCACCTGTCCCCAGGATACCTCAACCTGTCCTATATTGGACTCACCTTCACCCCAGACTTGTTCTTCCTCTCTGCTCTCTAACTCAATTGGTGGTGCGCCATCTACCCAGTTCTGCGCACTATGAGCCAGAAGCATCCTCAGCGCTCCCTTTCTCTCAAAGTTTAATCTGTTCCCAAGTCCTGCCATGTCCCCTAAATTGTTTCTCTAAGCACCCCCTCTTCCCCATCCCTGCTGCCACTCTCAGCTGGAGGTTTCGAGCAGCCTCCTAACCGGTTTCCTTCCTGTGGCCTAGCCTTCGGATACCCCACCCACGCTGCCCCAGAAGGAGCTCCTGAGAAGGCCAGTGGGACCAGGTTCCTTCCCGACATCACTGAGCCCCGCTGCCCCCGGACAAAACCCAAGCTCCTAAGCATGCTTCCCATGTTCCCCGGGATCTGGTCTTCCTCTAATCTATCCACAGAGCTGTCAAAACGCTCTCTCTAGAGGCCTCATTGGCTCCACACCCCTCCCCTCCCTGCTGCTCTAAGCCTCTGCTCTCACCCGCCTCCCCCACTCTGACAGTCACCTGGGTAACTCCCACATCTCCTTTGAGGTTCAGCTCAGGGGTTGCCTCCTGATAGAGCCCACCAGACCCTGACCCGGCTTGCTCCCCGCAGTCCGCCTCCCTTACTGTTGCTTCTAGAACTTGCCTTTGTCCTGCCTTTACCTGTAAGTTTATTCAGGAGTGTCCCCCCCATGAGCTGTGAGCTTCTTGAAAAACTGCCTTTCCTTCCTGTGGCATCAGAGTCTAGCGTGGGGTGTGGTACACGGAGGTGCTGAATAAATGTGGAGTAGATGGATGAATAACTGAACGCAATGATCTATGTCTAATGCATAGGTGCATCAGAGCCTCTAACTCCCAGTCCTGCGCAGCCTGGAGTGTGACACATAGTAGGTGCTCAGTAAAGCTCGTCCGTATGCTATTTTCTGAATTAATCTGATTAAGGCAATGTCTGGGATAGTTTGAGATACCAGAGGGGGCAGGGGGAAGGTCTGAATGTGGGCGCCTTAGCCAGAAGGGCAGCTTGGGATGCACCACAGTGGGGGAAGGGGCCACAGGGTTCTCCGGAAAGGTGGGAAGGAACTAAGTCCCTGGCTCGCTGTCCGTCCACGCCCCGAAGTCGGGTGGAGTCCGGCCGGGCTAGTCCGCCTCCAGCCCTGCAGGCCCAGGACTCCTCCGGGTCACCCCGGTGGCGAGACCCCCGGCTCGCCCGCTCTGCGCTCTGCGCCGGGAGGCGTGTGTGTCGCTTTAACAGCTCCCTCCCGGCGTGCGGGGCCGGCCCCTTCCCTGGCGGCGCCGAGGAGAGCGGAGCCCAGCCTGCCGGGCGGCCTTCGGCGGAGCCAGCGCCCGCCCGGGCGGCCAGTCCGGCGGGGGGCGGCGGGGCGGGCCGGGGGCAGCCGGGGCGCGGGCGGCGGGGCGGCGCGGCGCTTGGGGAGCCGGCCGAGGCCCGCGGAGCCCGGCGGGGCCGGGCAGGGGGAGGCCGCCGAGGGAGGCCCAGCCCCGGTCCGGCGCCTGTTTGCCCCACCGGCAGCCGCCCGGCGCCCGGGGGCTGGCGAGCCGCGGGCGGCGGCGGGAGCGGAACGGGGGCTGCGAAGCCCGTGCGCCCCTCCCCGCCCCCCCTCCCGCGCCGCCCCTCCCCTCGCTCTTCTCGCCTCCCCTCCTCCGCCCGGCGCCGCTCTGCCTCCCGCGCCCGGGCCGCCGACCCCCGTCGGGCCGGGCGGCCCCGGGACCCGTGCGCCCTCGCCCCTCCCCCCGGGGATCGGCGGAGTCCCGACCTTCCGGACCGCGGACCGCGGGGCCGGGCAGCGCGGACCCTTGCGGCCGCTCCGGACGCCGCGAGGGCGGGAGCGCGGACCTGGTGGGGCCCGGCAGACGCGTCCCGGGCGGCCGGCGGGGCCAGCTCACTCCGGGCCGGCCGGCCTGAACTGCACACGGCGGATCCGGGGCTGCGCCGAGGGGATCCCGGCGCCCCCCGAGCCCTCCGACTTTAGCTCACGCGCTGGGACCGGCCAGGCGTCACTTTGGTCGCCCTGCGACCGGCTCACCTGCGGCCTCGCGCCCCGGGCCCGCCAGCCCCTCGCTCCTTCCCGGCGGGGTTGTGGGAGATCTTTGCTGCCCGCTTCCTCGGAGCGCGGGGGGCCCCGCCCCCTCCCACCGCCCAGATGTCTTTCCTGGCGGCTCGGAGGACCTTCCCGAGGCCGAGGGCTGAAGGGTCCAGAGAGAGAAGCCCGCCCTAGGGAGCCCTGGGGGCCCCCCAACCTCACCGTGGGGCTGGGCCCCCGACGCTGCTGGAAGGAAAGCCAGTGTCCCCACCCTCGGTGAGTCTCGGGGTGAAGCGGGGGTTCCGAGGGAGGGAAGAGGAGGCTGAGGAGGGGAGGGTCCGCTGGGAATGAGGGCACTCTGGGGGCATTAGGAGGGAGGACGGAAGAATGGAGAGGCCCTCTGGTGAGCCAGTGGGGGCAGGGGACCGGGGGGAGCTGGGGCAGGGTGCCCCATGGCAGGCCGAGCACTTCTGCCCCTATAGCAGGGGCATCCTCTTTTCCTTGGAGAGGAGGGGCTGTGCTGTAGACCATCTGCCTCTGCCACCCCTACCCACAAAGAAAAATAAATAAATCCCCAGTGAGTGAGGGTGCAGGCTGGCGAGGGAGACAGTGGCGTTGCCGGCTGGTGCTGCAACCTGGGAGGGCTGACGCCAGGCCTGCTCTCTCCGCAGGGGGCTGCCCTCCTCCAACCCAGCTCCCTTCCCAGAGTTGTCCACATCTGGAACTCCCTTCACGTCTGGAAGACCCCAGCCAGCTTCCCTCTGCAGGCGTCAGTTGCTTCCAGAGACCTCTGCTTTTACAGCTGCCTAGGAGTTGTGAGGGGATTGCTGCTGCCTTCCCCCCTTCCCAAGGGCGTCTCTTACCCTTAGTCCCTGCAGAGTCATCCCCCTGCCTCTGTGCCCAGGCTCAACCAGAGATCTGCTCAGCACACCCACAGGCACTTCAAGTCCTGGAGGCCTGAGACCTAAGGCCCCTCCCCCTGCCCTCCTGTGTCCTCACCTTGACCTCCTCTGTAAGACTCTGTCTCCCTCTGGGTGTCCCATTCCCCACCCAGAGGCACAGGAAGTGGGGTGGCAGGAGGCAGGGGCTGGGTGAGGGCCACCCAGGGCCAGGGTGGACTGGGGGGGCCGTTAAGATGTGGAGCTCTTCCTGGCCGAGGGGGGCTCCGCGGAGACAGACGCAGCGTGTGCCTGGCTGGAGGGAGTATGGGCAGGCCTGTGGCCACGTGGTAAAGGATGAACATTCGGGGCGCCCCGGACCTCGGGCAGCCCAGCGACGACCTCAGCAGTGGCGGTGAGCGGGAGCGGATTCGACAGCGCATGAAGATGGTCATCGGGCAGCTCGAGGGCATCTTGCGGGAGCTCAAGGAGGTGGCCAAGGAGCTAAGGGAGGTGAGTGAGGGGCCAGACGGACCCTGGCCCCCTTTTCCTGGGCCTGGCACAAGAAATGCACTCACACATATGTGTTTAAGTGTGTCTGTGCACACAAAGCTGTGTGCACATGTGTCACTCTGCTGCATGCCTCCTCCTCTCTCTCCTTTCCTCAAACCTACTTTGCTAAAAATCTCACCGTCCCCCAAGGCTGTGGGGGGTCCAGGTACTGCAGAGACTGCTTGGACAGCATGTCACGGGTGCGTGCTCACTGGTTAGCACTCAGGACTGCCAAAGTGGCAAATGACAGCTGGATCCCACCGTAGCCTCTTAGTGGGAAACCCTCTTCAGGAACCCAGGTTGCCATCGGACACCATCATCTGTCTCCTAGACTCTGGCCTGGTCACAAGGGGCCCTGGGAGAGCGTGGATGACTATACTGAGGCAGTCCCCACTGCTGAGGCACAGTTGGAGTATTCCCCAGAGATCCCACAGATACTCAGAACCTTTCAGTCTGGAAAAATTAAAGCCAGCCGATCTGGACTGCACACAGCGAATCCAAAGATGGAAATGGGTCTGGTGCGGGGGGGCTGCCAGTAGACATCAGAGTTCCTGTGTACCTTGGCAGGGGCAGGAATCTCCTCTAAAGGGATGCGTCTCCATCCCATGGTTCTGAATGTTTTCACCAAGGCTGGAAAGTCACGGAGAGATCCTGGGATGTGTGCCCCTCTGTCTCTCTAAGTGGAGCCCGGTTTAATTACTGCTTCCCACATTGCCAGGGTAATGAGGTACACATGTCCTCAGCCCTGCCCCCTGGGCTGTGTTCGAGCCCAAAATGCATGGCCAGCGTTCTGAGCCATTGGCCTGAATTTGCCCACTGGGTGCCATTATGCCAGCCAGGTGGGCTTTAGGCAAATTTCAACTCTGTGTAACCAGGGCCCCTGCCAAGATGTCAGGGAGAATGATTGAACTGGAGTTATGGGCTCCAGCTCTCCCCAGCCAGCTGTGTGGGGAGGATGTGGGCACTAGGAGGATTGAGGAGAGGGGGAGATGGTGGGTACCAACTCCAGGATGGCAGAGTGAGTGGCATTCCAGCCTGGTGTGAGAGCCAAGGAGCAGGGGTGGTTTGAAGGGAGCTGTGTCCAGAGTGGACGGTTTGTGCAGATACCAGGCGGGAGCTGAGGTTGGACAGGACAGCCCCTCTGCCCAGAGTCAGTGTCGTGGAGCCTGCCAGGAAGTCCTTTCTCAGGAAGCAGGAATGGCTGTTTCAGGTAACCAGAGGCGGCGGTGCTTCTGCCCATGGACCAAGCTGGCCAAGGTCTGGGCTGAATATCTCTGGGGAGTACAACTTGGAGGTCAAAGGCCAGATGCCCCTGAGCAACCCTCTTTCCTCACCCTCTTTGGTCCAAAGGACTACAATCCCCAACCCCCATCTTACTCCAGATGCTCGGTGGTCCTGTCAGGGCCCTGGGAGCTGTCCGGAGTCTCGGTCTTAGGCAGGGCCACAGGTCCTGTACCCTAGCATGCCCACCCACGAAGAGCAGGACTGCCTCTAAGCCTGGGAGTCAGCGTTCCTACAGGGCAGAGCCTGCTCCCACCTGAGTGTCTGCAGGCATCTGCCTCCCCCAGCACAACCACTGGCGTTTGGAGGCATCTCATTGGTCACCCAGATCGGCCCTGCCCATTTGGTATTGAACTGAGGCCTACAGAGGGAGAGGGGCTTGTCCAGGGTCACACAGCCTACCAGCGGCAGAACGAAGCCTAGAACTTGGGCTCTTGATGCCTGTTTTGGGGCTGGTGCAGGGGGCTAATGGGCAGCCTCTGCATTTTTACAGGGTCCTTCTAGGGGCACTTCTGCCCACGCTGTGGTGCTTGAGGGGGTGACTTGAGGGGGTGAGGCCGGGGGATCAGGAGCGCCAGCATTTATTTGCGGATCAGTTCGATGTTCCCTCCCTCCCTTCTCAGCGCGCACTCACCTAGCAGACCTTCGGTCCCGAACCACAGATCTGCAGGTCCACAGGCTGTGCAGCCCGGAGGCCCGAGCCAGGACAGCGAAAGATGGGTCCCCTCCCCCCACCTACCCTGTAGGCCATGTGCCTCCACCCAAGACTTTGGCAGGTTGCTATGGCAACCAGAGCCTACCCCGTATGCCACTGCCTGCCCGCTGCCAATGGCACCCAGCTGGGAGGAGGTGCAGGCCTCACGGCTCCCCCATCCCCCAAGCGGGGTCTAGACAAGGGGTGATGGGCAGAGGAGAGTGTTTGGGGAAGGCAGGTGAGGCTCTGGGAGTGCCAGGCAGAAAAGGAGGTGCTATAACTGACACCCTGTGGGATGGGGTTTGTCAGGAATTGGGTTAACAAGTAGAGGTGGCAGACCCTGGTTTGGCGTAAGGGGTGCAGCCTCCCTACTCTCTGGAACCTGTGGCCCTGGCTCTTGGTTCTCCTAGGGGGCTGTAAAGCTGGATCTAACTGGCTATCCTTCTCAGTCACTTTGTGTGACATTTTTCCATCCAAGTAGATGGGTAGGCCCAAAGTTGAGACGGTGGCAGGCACTTGGTCCCTCATGAGACTCCACTTCCTAGACAGCACCAGCTGAGGGTGCAGCAGCTGGGTTCTTGTCTTAGGAAGGCAAAGTACTTGGATGTGAAGGTGGGATTCACATGCAAGTCTGCTGGGGAGCAGCATGGGATGCTTGAAGGAGCTAGGTCAGCAGAGAGAGGGGGCTTGGCTTTATCCCTCTGCCATCTTTCTCCTCTGCTGCTCCCCTTCCCCAGCCCCAGATGCCACTGATCATGGCAGACTCTCCCCATCCTCTTGAGCATACAGCCTGCAGTTCATAGAAAGATGAGAGACACTAAAGTACTTCTCCCCGGGTCCCTGAGCCTGCCTGCTCATCTTGGAAATGGGGAGGATGATCGTGCACACCTCAGAGGGATCTTACAAGGACTTATCTGGGGCTTGGCATGCGGTGGGGGGGCCAGTACCTGTTCACACTGCTAAAGGATTTGGGGTTTCCTCTCCCATACCTCCTCACCCTCCCTAACCCCTGCTATCGCAGCTCCAGAGGTGATGGGGAGCAGTCCTGTCCCACGGGTAGGTAAAGTAGTTTAGTGGACTCAGTGAAGTGAGAAATGGAAAAGTGCCTTGAAAGCTAAAATTGTGCCGCAGAGGGAGGTGGCCGCCAGTCACTAGTTAGCCCTGGTCTCTCCTAGGTCCCTGGTTCTCCAGGAGGCCAGGCCAATGCCAGCAGGCTCTCGAGGCTCCTCAGAATTCTGCAGCTATTAACTTAGAGAGGCAGCCCAGCCCAGGGGCCAAAAGCATGGGCTCTGAAGCCAGATGTCTCTGGTTCAAATCTAAGCCCTGTGTCCTTCTAGCCATGTGAACTTGAGAAAGTTATATTACCTTTTTATGCCTCTGCTTCCCCATCTGTAAAATGAGGATACTGAATTTTATGCCTCCCCTCAGCCCCAGGGTTGTGGTAAGAATTAAAAGTGGTATCATGTGTAAAGCCTTAGTACAGGGGTGGGCACAAAGCTAACTCCACATCTAGTAGATATCATCACTAAGATGGGCTAGCACACGTCTGTTCCTCATTCTCTGTATGGCCTCGTTCTTGTAGAGTCACATCAGCCTCTTAGCCATGATAAGGGAAGGAAGAGCCAGGACTCTGGCCTCCTGGCTGGCACCCTTTAGTATCCCCTGACGTAGGCAGCCCCACCCTCTTCCACTAGGCAAATGGGCTAGAAAGTGACAGGAATGGGGGTGGGAAGGTCTCCAATAAGATGGCTTTTGAATAGAGACCTAAAGGAAGTGAGGGTACAGACAAACAGGTATCTAGGGAAAGAGGCTTCTGGGCCGTGCAAGCAGCCACAGCAAAGGCCCTGAGCAGGAAGTGTGCTGGGCAGCATGTTCAGGATCAGCAAGGAAGCCAGCACATCTGGAGGGGGCTGAGCCAGGAACAGGGATGCAGGAGGAGAGGTCAAGGAGGTGGCAGGGAGGCAGATGAGCTACGCAAAGCCTCTCCCCTGCTCCTCCCCGTTCTGCACCAACCAGGCCCCAAGGGCAGAGGTAAGGGCCTCATTCTTGGCCTCCCGAGATGTTGAACCTACCTTGGCCTCTTCCTCCTTGATTTCCCTTCCCAAAGATGTCCCTCGGATGGGATGGGGGCTCAGAAATGACCCTTGCATGCACCACTGGTGTCCCCCATGTCTTCACACTCTTGGGTAGGATATAACCTAAGGGCACAGTTGCCCACCTCGGCCCAAACACATCAGGAGGATGGAGGGGTGGGCGCCCCCTCACAGCCTGGGGTGGCAGTGGAGAATCCTCTCACCTGATTTTCCTGGGGAGCAGGTCCGACGACAGTTGTGCAGTCCCATCAGCAAGGTACTGCATGTGTGGTGACAAGGAAAGCCAAGGGCCATGTAGGCATGAGATAAATGTGACCCAGCCCGGAAGCAGCGGGAGCAGGAGAGGCCGGGGACCACAGAGCTGTGCCAAAGTGGGTCAGCTCCGTCACCTGCAGCTCAGCAAAAACTGGGTGGATTTTCTCTTATTATTTTTTTTCTCACCTTCCTTCCCTCCTTTTCCCTCTGCCTTCTCCTCCCGACAGAGTCACGAAGCTCCCTGGCCAGGTGGCCAAACTGCAGGGCGAGAGTCATGCATCATGGTCCACTCACTCTCCCTCCCCAACTCCACGGCCCCCCAGAGAAGATAATAAATAACATAATCACAGAATTAAAAAATAATCAGTGGTCATAAATAATGCAGCATCCCCAGTTATGTAACTGGCTGCCTGGGGAGCTGGGAGGGAGGAAAGGGGGGAGAAGCTCATGAAGCAAAGTGAAGGGGTCGGGTGGAGAGGGGCCAGGTGCAGGTTCTGGGACCCCAGGTCCCCAGACTACTCATGGTTCTGGGGTGTTAGGGGACACAGACATGCTCTCCTTGGAGTGGAGCCTCAGCCAGGGCTGGAGGGAATGCTGGGGCAGGCACTATTGGGGTATCCAGCACTATAGAACTCTTTCTCAGAAAAGGAGACCCCAGCAGTTTTTACTAAGCTCTTACTGTAAAGAGTGTACCACTTGCTGTGCCAAACTGGGGATGCAATGGTTGGCAAGACATTCCCAGTCCCATCCTTCATGGGGCTTAGTGGTGGGGAGACAGGCATCAATCACATTATAATGACTACATGCATAACATTGTAGCAATGGTAAATATTGAAAAATATTGTAGGGGGAGGTGCAGGGTGCTTTGAAAACGTTTCATAGAGAACTGGGGGTCAGGAAGACTTGCTTATGGGAGTGAAATGGAGTGCATAGGAAAGGAGGGAGGCATTCCGGGGGGGCCCCGAGGCAGAAGTGAGCTCAGTGGAATGTGGAGTACTGGTGAGGAGGCAGGCCTGTCAGGCTGGAGGGAGCCTGCTGGACAGCAAAGGGTCTGTGGCCAGACTTGGTGGTTGGTTGGTTTAAGAGACTCAGGAATGTGGGGAACAGGAAAGCACTGGGAGCAGCGGGGTGCCAGGGTCCTGCTGGCTGACTGGGAAGTTCCCAGGATGCAGCGGCAGCAGGAGCTGGACAGCAGGTGCTCTCAGAGGAAAGGCCGGGCGTGTGTGCTGTTTCAGGCAAGGAGGGCTGAGGCTGTGGCCAGGACCAAGGTTGGAAACCCCTTGGGAAGGGCCTGGGACACCCCAGCCCCACCCCGGTGGGTTCGGTCACAGCCTCCAGCCCTGCTCTTCCCTCCAGCCTTCGCTGCTCCTCCTCTAGAGCAGGTGACTTGTCCTAAGGTGCCAGCCGAGGAGTCAGGACCCCCAGCTTCTGCCTGCAGCTCCGCCCCTTGCAGTCTCTGGGCCTCTGTTTCCCCGTCAGCAAGCACAACGAGAAGGGGGAGCTCAGCAGTGTTGATGCTGTGATTTTAGGGATTCTATTTTTCTCCCCATACTTTCCTTCTGTGTATATAATTATTTCCCTGTACTCTTAGATAATCCAAATTACATGTAGGCAAAATGATTATTAAATTTCAGAAAGTAATCATGAATTTCGAGACATGCAAAGCAGGGAGTCAGTAGCTTAGGGCCCGCCCCGCTGACCCCATGAAGTGAGGTAACGGGAACAGGCGGTGGGGTTTGGGGGCTGACCCAGGCCCTGCATACAATCTGGGTACCTTTGTTACGTCACTCCCCTTTCTGATCCTCACACATGTCATTCATCAAGTGGGTGTCGCCTGTCCCATGGATGGGCTGGACTGATTTGCCTGTGAGCCTCATAACCATTTGCTTTTAGAACTTCTTTGGCTTCTGTTCTGACTGGAAACAGCCCTACTTGAGGGAACATAGGTGCCACGCATGAGCTGAGGTTTGAAAGGCTCAATATGTCCCATCATTCTTCCACAGGTGCTGAAAATGTCCCCATCTGAGTGTCATTCCTTTGGTGAGGAACTGGTTTCCTTTCAGCTTTTGGGCCTGGTGCCAGGGGCCTGGTCACATGTTAGCACCCACTGGTGCACAGTGGATATTGGTAGTTTCTGTTATTCTATCCATGTATCAAGCCATTAAATCCTCACACAGCCCTGGCAAGTAGTACTACTAGAATTCTCCTTTATGAGGAAAGTCAGGCACAGAGATGTTGAGTAACTTGGCTAAGGTCACCCAGCCAGTAAGTGATGAGGCCAGGCTTAGACCCTATATTTGGCTCTAGAGCCCAGATTCTTGAGTGCTTGGCTGCACTGACTGCATTTTAAAGCACATTCATATATGGTAAAACCCCATCACCTGGGTGCGGAAAGGAGCATCGTCCCATTTTATGGGGGAGGGTACTGTGACTTGGAGAGAGAAACCGCCTGCCTCGAGTTCCTTGGTCAAGATGTGGCAGACTTGGGACTTGAATCCAGGCTTTCCTCTTTCCCCTCCCTTCACACCCCTAGAAGGGAACCAGACAGGGGCGTTCTGGTGGAGAAGGGGAAGGGCCCGGATGTAAAGGCCATCTGAGCAGGTGGCCAGCAAGGGCTTCTTAGGTGGGTGATGTGTCCAGACCTGAAGGCTTTAGGGCTGCTGCCCTGCGCACCCTGGGTCAGCCTCACAGGTCATTGGAGCCTAGCTTCAGCCACCCCTGTGCAGTCACAGCTGAGCCATTTAACTCCAGATTCCTACTAGCATTGTCACCCCTATGCAGCTTGACTTGATCAGGGGAGTCTACTTTGAGTAGGTGGCTGCCCTGGAGGCACAGGGATTCTTATGAGACTGGCAATGCTCTGACGTGCTATTTCTTCACTGGCTTGAATCCCCAGGACCCTGGATCAGTGGTTCCCAAAGTATGTCCCCAGACCAAAGGCACCCAGCAAGCCTGCTAGATATGCGCCTTCCTGGGCCCCACCTGGGCAGACTGAACCAGAAAATCTGGGGAGTGGCTGACGCACCTTCCAGTCTAAGGGCGCCTCAGGTGGGCTGGGGTTGAGCAAGGGCTTCTGGGGGATGCAAGCCTCTTGGAAGCGGGGGCTAGTCATCATGGAGGGAGCATAAGAAGCGGCAGTCAGATTGGAGGGTGGGGCCCTATCCGCATTGCCTGCCCAGGCCCAGAAACCACAGCAGCGCCTCAAAGCAGCATGCAGTCTGACAGGGGGCAGCAGAGGCAGGAATCTCAGCGCCCGGTGACTGGGGCCTCCCGCCTTCATCTGTAAACTCAGGAGATGAGGATCTCGTGGGTGGACCGCCTGGAACATAGTAAGCGCTCAGCGACCGTTACTTTTATCACCAGTGCCCCCTGGAGCCTCTTCACTACCCTTGTCACTGTGCCTCATGAAGCTCTGGGAGGTTGGCAGGGCTGGGATTATCGTACCCAATTGGTGGCAAATGGAGTTGAGGTCCAGAGAGGTTATGTGACTTGACAAGACACACAGAGCAATGTCTAAGCTGAATCTGGAAGCTGGGTGTCTCGATTCCCCCAGTTCTTCTGTGAACCTCAGCCAAGTGTTCCCACCTCCCCTGGCCTGGAGTGGGCATCCCTAGGTAACAACACCCCAAAACAGCTCCCTAGGTCACTCCTATAAACAGAGTCCTAGAAACTCAGAGATGAAAGGAACCTTAGAGAGAAACTATTCATGCAACCTCCCCATTTCAGTTTGAGAAACTGAGACCTAAGAGAGAAAGTGCCTGGGTCACTGACTCTCTGAGTAGTAGGAACCCCTGACTCCTGACCAGGTAGGCTTGCCCCCAACCCATTGTTATCACCCCAGCTTTCCGCTTTCACTTTGGGACACTCACCACTCCCGCTCCTGGTCGAGCACCTAGCACATCCCTGGACAGTGGTAATCCTCTGCGGAGATTTGTTGAATTAGGGACTTTGTTAGGTAGTTCATTAGTTGACTGCTGCGACCCCAGGTAAAGGGCCCTGGAGAGGCTTTGGGAGCTGGGGCCTGGCTTGATGCCTCCCTATGTATGTCTGGGTCTCTGGGTCTCTGGGTCCCTCTGCTTTGCTTTTGCTATTGTTTGGCTGTTTTTGTTTGTGGTCGGAGTCAGTTCTCTCTTTTCCTCTGTCCTACTCTGTGTCTCTGACGGGATCTCCCTTTTTCTGCTTGTTGTCTTGGTCCCTGGTTTCTGCCCTGACAGTGGCCTAGGCAAGGGGGTGCCCTGAGGCAGGGCCGCCTGCTTGGAGGCAGGGCTTCACTCCACGCGGGGCAGGAGGGTGCAGTGACCTCAGCAGCTGAGCTGTCCTCTGAGCACATTTAACAAGCAGCTCTGGGCGGAGGGTGGACGGTTTCCTTATCGCTTACCAAATAATGCTGGTTTTATTCCTTCCCCAGCATGCGAGGCTTGATCTCCCCTCGTCGGGGACAGGGAAGGGAAGGAGGGAGGGGGCTCTGGAGTATGTGGGGTGGGGTGGGGTTGGGTGGTTGGTGGCGACCCATGGGGGACAGTCACTGGTCAGCTGCCCAAGCTGGTCCAGGAAGCTTTAGGAAGCCCGGGCAGAGCCTTCCTTGTGGCCACCCCTTATTATTCCTCTCTGAAGGTGGGTGATCTGCCACCTCTCCACCGAGCGGGCTTGCCAGGGTCTCTCAGCCTTCTTTAAATGGCCCCACTCAACTGATGCAAGATCAAGTTTTAAGCACCAGGGCTGCCCTCCAGAACAGCAGCTGGCTTTGGGGAAGAGGGGCCTGTGAATGGGTGGGGTGCTGGGCTGGCAGATAGTCCCCCTCCCCACTGTGGGACTGAGGAGGAGAAAGGAGGGGAGTGGCCCAAACAAGCCTGTGCCCCAGGGCCCATTTGGGCCTCAACAGGGCAAGCAAACCTGTGGCTCAAACCAGTCACCCTGCTGTGGGATCATCAGCCAGGGATGGGGCAGGTGGGTAGGGACACCCTCCCACCAAGGTGGTGCCAGGCCCCCTCACTCCTCTCTCCTTCTCTGGCCAGGTGGTGAGCCAGATTGACAAGCTGACCTCTGACTTTGACTTTGAACTGGAGCCTGATGACTGGACCACGGCCACTGTGAGCAGCACGTCCAGCAGTGACAAGGCGGGCGTGGGTGGCCCCTTCGATCTGGGTCACCTGGACCTCATGACAGCTGACATCCTCTCGGACAGCTGGGAGTTCTGCTCCTTCCTGGACGCGTCCACGCCGTCGGACTCCGCGGATGGCCCCGAGTCGAGCCGGCCAGGGCCTGGCCCTGACTACCGGCTCATGAACGGCGGCATGCCTATCCCCAATGGGCCACGGGTGGAGACCCCAGACTCCTCCAGCGAGGAGGCCTTCAGCGCGGGCCCTCCTAAGGGCCAGCTCCCCCAGCGGACCCCAGGCACGCGGGAGAGGGTGCGGTTTAGTGACAAAGTGCTCTACCACGCTTTGTGCTGTGACGATGAGGAGGGGGACGGCGAGGAGGCGGCGGCGGCGGAGGTGGGCCTGTCCCCAGAGCCTCCCCGTTCAGAGACCCATGCAGGCCCCCTCAAGCCCTCCCGAGGCCCCTCCAGGCCCAGGCGCTCTCCACTGACCAGCCGCCGCTCGGGCCCCACCTTGGGCCCTGAGCAGACCCGAAGGGTCACGAGAAACAGCAGCACCCAAACAGTGTCAGACAAGAGCACACAGACGGCGCTGCCCTACACGGCCACCAGGCAGAAGGCCCAGGGGAAAGACCAGGGGCTGGGGGCGGTGGGCCCATAGGGCTATGAATATATATATATATATATACATATATATATATTTAAACAAACACAGTCATAATAAAATTTTAAAATGCTAAGGATCTGGCCCTGCAGGCCCCAAAGCTTTTACAGAGCTCATCTTAGAGATGCCTACTCACCTCCTGGGTCCCAGGAGTGCACCAGGATGACCCCCCTTCCTTCTCACTGCAGGGCTCCCGAGGGGGCATCTAAAGTATATAAATGAGGCGGGGGCGGTCCAACCTGGGGCTGCTCTGGCAGGGCCCGAGCACAGTGCTGGGGAGCGGCTGCCGGCCTGGGCTCTGTCCTGGGGAGGGTTTGGCAGCAGGAGGTAACTCTCAGGAGCCGTGTCCAAGTGTGATCTGGGGTTGGCTACACAACTGAGGGCCCAGGGTCGCTTCTGCCCCACACCTCTTAGCCCAGGGCAGACGTCTGCCCCTCCCTCATAAAGGCAAACTTAGCCGGGTAGGTGCAACCCCATGCCAGACCCTTGCATTGCAAAGCTGGTTGGGACACCGAGAAGGGGCAATCTGCTTCCGCACGCATGGGGCAGACCTCCATGTTGGGATGCTGGCCTTCACTGGCCCCTGGAGAACCAGGCTGAGCCGGGCAGGGGTTTGGTTGGAGAGCCTGGACCACTCCCAGCCCTTCCAGGGCCCATGCTCAGCCTTGTCATCTAGAGATCAGAGACTCAGGGCAGAGACCCAGCCAGCCTCTGGCTTGGCCCTGAGGGACCCCAGGTCCCGAGGATGCAGGCACCAGCTGCCGTGGGCTACAGACCAGGGCCATAGGCAGGCTTCCAACCTCCTCCTCCAGGCAGCCCTGTGGAGAGGCTCCAATGGCCCGATTCTGCCCCTCCTCCTCCACACTGACCCTGAGCCCACCTTAGCAGGACTTGAATGACACCAGCAGAGACAAGATAGGAGCCTGGGGTACCAGGGCTTCATCTTGGGTGTGGCCTACACAGGGACAGCATCTGAATACCCTTGGGATAATAATCATTGCTCACATTTATTGAGCAGGTCTCTATACCACTATATGCCAAGTACATTTTGTAGTAGTATCTCATTTAATCTTCACACTAACATGACAAGATAGAAACTATTACTATACCCGGTTTTCAGATGAGAAGACTGAGATTCAGAGAGGTTAAGTAATTGGCCCAAAGTCACAGAGCCTGTGCCACCCTAGGCCCCATGAGTGTGTGGTTTCAGGCTATACCCAGCTCTGCTATGTAGCACCTTGAGCAAGTCCATTTACCTCTCTAAGCCTATCTACCTCATCTGTAAAATGGGCCTGATAGTCTTCCCCTACCTCACAGGCTGTTGTGGGGCTTCAATTACACAAGAAATGTGAGAGCACTTGGTAAGCACAAAGGCACTGGACACGCCTTGTGGTCAATGCGACCCCAGCCCAGATTCTAGTGTTTTCCAGGGTGGGGAGCCCTGAGTGGGGTGGGGAAAGAAGCCACGACCATTGACTGGGAGCTGTCCCTAGGTCACTGCTTTGCTTTGTCCCCCACAACAGCCTGCGGCCATGAGATTGCTGCCGTGTGATTCACTGCCCCTTGCTCAGGGCCGAGGTGGTGGCAGGGGCACGGCAAGGACATCATTCCTTGGGGGCCTCCCTGCTGCACATTTCACTTAAGGCAGATTTACAGCCCACCAGGGCCTGTCAGGAAGGGTTTCTGCTCCTCACATGGACACCCACGAGGTTCTGACCAGCAGCCTGGCCGCACCCACTGTCTGATGCCTGCAGGGCCTGGGGAGGTGCTGCCCAGCCCCGGCAGTGGGAGGTAGACTGTGTAGGCCAGTCCGGAGCAGATGCCGGGGAGGCTGTGCGGATGGGCTGGTCTAAGAAGCATGCTCCTCAGTATGGGCAGCTCCCCTCCGGCCTGGGCCGAGGTAATGCCCGGAAGGGTGTGCCTGGGTGCAACCTCCAGCATGCAAACCCAGGGTGGGTGGACGGGGCTAGCTCTCGGGCCCAGGCCTGTAGACCTCCTACGTGCCGGCTCTCACGTCACTTATGCACACATGTAGGCACAACTCCCCTGTGAGGGTCTGGTCCGGTGTGGCTGGGGGTGGGGCTTCAGTGCTAGGAGGCCAGAGGTGGCCTTGGGTCCAAATTACGATCCCTGGGAAAGAGGCCAGGAGCATGAGGCAGGAGATGAGCTCGGTGAGACCACCCCAGCCACGTGTTGGGGAGTATCCAGGCTGACACCATTTTAATGGGGTGGGCACTTTGCAGTGTCACCGATGTCTGAGAATGAAGAGGTGGCACTTGTCTCCATTTTATAGGAATGGACAGAAGATCTAGTCTACAGAAGTGGTCTGATGGGAGAAAGGGGCAGAAAAGGTGGAAGACTGTTCAGAGGCCCCAGCACCACCCCCTGCTCTTAGAGACAAAGTGAGGCCATGTCAGAAAAGGGGGACAGGGCAGGGAGGACACTGGAACTCAGAGCAGGCCCGGCCTTCCACCTGTGCCCCTCCGGAGTTCCCTTTCTCTGTTCCAACGCCTCCAGCCGCACACCCCTTCTCCATCTCTTGTTCTCTAGCGGGGACTTGTATAAGAAAACTGACACTTACTGACCACCTAGTATCTGCCAGGCATTGTGCCACATCTTTCAGCTGACACTAAAATGACAGTTTTGTTGTATCTAGCACATAATGGGATGTTCAGCAATTATTTATTGAGTAAAAGGGGGAACCACAGCCTATTTCACAGGTGAGGGAGCTAAAGAACAAGCAAGGAATTTGTTCAAAGTTGTATAGTCAGAAATTGGTGGAGCTGGGATGTGACCTTGCTATTATTATTTACACTGTGTAAGAGCTACTGTTTTTGGAATACCTATTATTTGATGCATTAGACACTTTACATAAATTATCTTACCTACTTTATATCAACCTTCCAAGTAACAGAGGCTATTAACCATTTTATAAATGAGGAGACTGAGACCCATAGAGGTATAGTATCCTCCCCCAAATAACCAGCTTGTAAATGCAGAAACAGGACCTGAATCTGGACTTCACCGTGCTTCCCACACTCCTAGCTTCAGGGGGCCTGGAACCCCTGCAAGTAGAGACACTGCCAGAGCACAGATTTCCCTCGGGACAGCTGACCAGAGCTCACCAGAACTCAGGCCCTGCTCTCTTCAGCACAGCCTCTGGGAGTGTGAGGCCAGACTCCTAGAACCCGCCCCCGGTTCCCTGTGGGTCTCAGATGCTGACTAGGTGACCAGCAGAAGAAAGCTCAAGGTCCAAAGCATCCCTCCCCCTTCTCACACCTCCGGAGAGCCTGGAAATCTAAGCTGCTCCCAGCCCAGTACATGCCAGTCTGGTCTCCATCAGACTGGTGTTAGTGGCTAGAGGATCTAGAAAAGGCTCCTGGGAGGAGGAAGAGGGACTTGAAATGGAGTTCGTTTGCCATGGAGCAGAGCTTGGGTACCTGGAACGAAGGGGATTTGGGGCCAGTAGAACTTGACAAAATTGGCTGGAATGGTTAGACGGGGGACGGCAGGGAGAAGCCAGAGCAGAGGGTGGAAGAGATGAGAGCACCTGCAGCAAGGGACAGGGGTCCCATGGCCCCCTCAGAGACACTCCACCCTCTAGGCTGCAGGAGAAGGAATCAGGGGTTCCTGTCTAGCCTGAGACTAGAGTGGCTTGAAGAGCTCGGTGACAGCTGACCGGAAGAGACTGCTGTGACAGGGACCCGCTTTAATGAACAGACAAGAACAGCACATGATAAGCACATTGGTAAGAAAATAGATATGCTAAAGCCCTTGAAAGTCATTCTGTCTTGCAAATAGGTTAAATATTCCTTCCGCAATGCATTCTCACTGAAACTTCCTTTCCCCCACGGGTTGGGCGTTGGGACGCTGGGGCCATTCTGTCCCCATTTCAGGTGAGCCAGCCAAGATCCTGATGAGATCCGACTCTGCCCATCTGCCTGCCCTGAATGCCCACTAGAGAGGGAAGCACAGCCACTGTCACCTCCCGCCTCTCCCACTTTACCTGTCCCCGCCTTGCCAGCCAAGCAGACTAACGTGGGTGGCCTGAAGCCAATGCCATCCATGCCCAGTCCTGAGCAGACCTGACTTCCTGGCAGGAACGCTCAACCTCACACACCTGCTCGTGGCTCTGAGTTCCCTGCGCAGGTCGCTGCCTCTCCCACCCCTGCTGGGATGCACTTAGAGTGGCATTTCCCCACCGTGTGCAACAGTCCAGCAGCGCAAACCCCACGGGGCATCCTCCCCACCACCAGCCATCTTAGAAGTGCCATGGAAACTCAGTGTCCAGGCACTAGGTCCCCTGCCGTCCACACTACTCCACCCCTCCTCCACCCCAAAAAAGGCGAGATGGGGTGGGGTCACTGCAGGGCCCAGCCTGTGGAGGAACTGTGGAAAGAAGCTGTGGGGGTGGTCCCTGGCTTTTGTGGGGTTTCCTTGTGGTCAGTGGTAGGGCCTTCCTAGGGGACCTCCGTAGGGGTGCAGAATTTTCCCTGAGCTAAGTACTCTACTGACTGTGGGAGGGATCGCAAAGGAGGTGGTGATGGTTACATCCACTTTGGAGAGCGGGGGCAGGGAAGGAGCTCCCCGGGGATTCAGGAGTGCTGGAAAGGGGATGGAGGCCGAGTGCTGGCAACCGCTCACCGCCAGCAGGCTCGTCAGCACACCTCTTCCGGGTGCCCAACACCGACCACTCCCCAGGGCACAGTCCTGGGAGGAGGCGCATCTGCTCCTAGACGCAGGGAGAACGTGCAGAGGTACCTCCGTGAGAGGAAGAGTCCCAGGGGTGATGAGCCCAGGGTTTGGCCTGCGTGGGCAGAGGGTGGTTGAGTGCAGGCTGTGATCCCACAGGCACGGGGAGGGGGCAACAGGAGGTCCCTGGGAGAGGGCCAGGCGCACGAGGCAGCAGATGGGCCCGGTGAGGGGACAGACCTAGGACGGGGCCCAGTGTGCTCAGCCCAATACCTCTTTCACGGCAGACACTGCAGGGTCCCTGGTGCCTGAGAGTGGAGGGCCGCCCTCCTCAGGACCGCCCGCACCCCTGGGCTGGAGTAGGCTAGAGGAGAGGTCCTCGGGTGGG